AGTTATTGACAGTCCACCGTGGGCTCACATCGATTAGAGAGGCAAGATTTAGGCATGTTGATGCTCATCTAAACATCATTGTGATTTGTCTATGCTCTGCATATGGCTCATTATTGTAGAATCAACACCCATTACCCATTCGCCCACTTATTTCACCTCCCATCCTCCCTTGCCACCAATTTTGGAAATGCATTTAACACCAAAGCTTACAAACGACGTTTGTTTTAGGTACCCCTGATGTTGTCAGCCCAACTAATGACAGCATCTCCGATCTCACAGGACAGCAGAACTTTTCGGGAATTGAAGAAACGCTAAATGCCACCAATAATTCCAACTCTTCACCGAGTGCTTTGCAGAATCCTACTGACGATCTTCAAACTAATTCTTCTCTCCTCGATACTTCGACACCTCGGAAACAGAAATCAACTTCATTTCCTCCACTTCAAAATGATACAATTGAATTGTTCCTTGAAGTGCTTTTTGCCAATGAAACTAAAATCGAAGAACGTTGCTGGAATATTGGCTTCATGATTGAAAATCTGCTTCTATTACAAAATGTTAGTTCGCAGCATCGAAATCTTACTCCAGATTCTCCCTTAGCTTTATTCCACATGGCTCGTCATTTTCCAAAGAGAGTGAAGCACTTCGAGTACTACGAAAATTTCGACCCGCGGATGTTCATTAACACAATGATAACACAAACACAATCGGGGCTGAAGTACAAAAAGCTTTTTACATTCATAGCTTATGGTTTGAATGCACTTTATGAAACTGCCACATTGTTTATCAATGCGTCAAAAAATAGGAATGGAAGTGCCGCAGCTGTTGAGTGGAATAATAACCTTTTGGCTTTGTTTAGAGGATAAAAGTAAACGGGACACATTCATTCGAATGAGAAAAAAATTTTAATTTTAATTTCTGTCTTCTTACTCATAAAATAAATTTTTTCTTCCAACTAATCTAGTTTTCTTTAAATGATAAAAAGAAAATGGAGATAAGGTTCAAGTAGTGATTTCGGCAGACTAAAGATTATTTGTAGGTTGTTGCGATAAATCGCGATGTTGCTGAGTTGCACGAGCGCGATGGACCACCTCCAGAAATTCGGATAGACTTGAATGTGTTCACAAGTGGGATTTGTTGCATCAGTCAAATAGATGAAGACATTTCAAAATTTCTTCATTGTAAACTAACGAGTCGCATAAACTGTTTATGAGATCATGACTTTCAACAGAAGCTGAGAAAAAAGAGAGTTAAGGCTTCTATCAATAACCACTCACTGGATCAGAAGAGTCTTCATATGGGGGAAACAAAGTAACTTGTGATTTGCTTCGTCAATTCAATTAATGTCCATATTAGTTTCTTACATAGTTTTCCAACGTTCTACTCAGATATGCGAGCGTCAAATTCGCATTATTCATTCCACACGATAAACGTTTGGCACTAAATCATCGCCCTGTTAATGATTCATGTACTAATAAACTCCAATCCAGATGGTACGTTTCAGAAAAAAAGAAGAAATTGGCAAATTCTTCAAATCTTCCAATTCTATTAAGTTGTCAACAGATTTCACTTCTTCTTCTTCTTATATTCAGTGGAAATGTCATTCAATTTGTCATGGAGATAGTGGGAGAATTCGGGCTACATAGTTTTGGTCAATAAATTTCCAAGTTGCCATGCACAATCAAGCGCAATAAAGCTTAATAACGGATAGTGTGAACAACTTATCTATTTGCAATACTAAGTCACTAGTTTAAGTACAATCTTCGAAATTTCACTTGCCATTCTCCTCTTGAAAGTACTACTGAAAGTTGGGCTAGTCTCTTCAAAACCCTGTGAAATGTGGAGGTCAAGTGTTTCAACAAGGTTACATACTTGGGGATTGTGAAGGCAAGGTGAATCACTGGCATGACCACCACGTCAACAGTCAAACCAATTGGCTGAAGACAACAATTTAGGCATTATTCTTCCTGAAATTAGTAACCACTGATTGTCAAATAATGGAAATTATTAACTGTAGTGTTTTGAATTGGGATATCCACGCTTAAATAACGGGCTCAATATCTAAGAAAGCATCTTTATTCTTTGTCCCTAAATTTGCCAAATGGAAATATTTCCTTTGATCAAAAGAGACACGCAACCCACCGGCAACAAAGGGTCAAATGAGACATCAAACGCTCTCCTCTACACTAAATTTCCTTGTGAATTTGGCGACTTCCTTTAATTAGCACTTCATTGTCTGCCAGTTAGCACAACCAACAATTCCGTTATTGGGCTCAGTTACCTATCTTCATAATTGTCAGGATATTAAAAGTGGCAGTATTTCGATTTAACTCAAAGTGCTGAGCATATTTATTCATTGGAGAATGATCGATGTAAATCAAGGTGGTGATTCTCTGGATTAATCAGTAAAATTAATTGAAGTCAAGTTAAGCATAAACCACTACTGCAATCGTTTTCAATCCTCCTAATTACAACAATTCGCAAAAGGCAAAGTGTGCAGATTTTGCAGCTTTTGAAATGATTGATGCACAGTGACAAGCACTAGCTTGACAGGCGTGCTCGTGAAATGAAGGAAAAAAACGTGGAGGTTTGGGGTTAGGCTCAAGTGAAGTGGAGTGGAGTGGAATGGAGTGAGCCATATTTTGCCAATGTCTGAATAGCGTTGACACATCAACTGAGAGTGAATGGGGGATTGAAGAGAATGTTGGGAATGAACGAAATCACATGAAATACTGCTCCAACTGGTAATCTTTTAAAGTCGAATCAATTTTCAACGAAGGCGTTTCTGCAAGTACACTTGATAGAGTTGATGACAAATTTTAACACTGTCGTCTACGCAACAAAAATTAGAATCGAATTCAACACTCCACACCTCAGAGTAGAAAAGTTGACAGCAATTGCAAAGTAATGGAAATTTGTTGATTGCCAAATTTCAAATAGAGTAAAAGTCACTAAACCATTCATTCCCGTCGAGTTGATGTAAAAATAAAATTCCATGGTTTGCTACTTCCCCTCAGGTCATGGTAACAAATATTAAGTCAAAAATCCATTAGAAACGGTTCTTCGATGGTTTCGTTTAAGCCAGAAAGATACTTGGCTGGTCATAGCTGAAATGCTGCAATGTTGTTCTGCATAAAATTGCTGACATTAATTTCATCAAACAACCCTGAATGTCAAAGGTCAATTTGATTGCCATAATTAGAGGTTAATACTCGCATTGGTGCTCAGAGTGCAACATCAAGGTAGCAAAGACATCCTTCAATATTATAAGAGAAATCGGTTTCAACCATATGTTAAGTGGAATAATATTCCCATTGCAAACAACCAATACATACACTTAGATGCTCTCCTATCTGGCGTTTGTGCCATCTCTTGCAGCCTAGCTGACTGCAATTCCATCAGAGGAGTCCTCAACACCATCTTCTACCGTGAAAACTCACTAGATGTTAAGGTTTTTTATACTAATGCCAATCTGTTTTACACTACCCAGCTTTTTAACATTATCAGTCAAACCCACCGATTGAAGGCAAGAATGTGAAGGTTGGCATTTCTGAATGCAGTTATCTCCAGAGACCACAAAATTGTGGAAAGTAGACTTCAAGAAACTAGTAATCTCTGATTGCCAAATAATGCCATTTTAATGATCATTATGTAATGGATTGGGATCTTGATGCTTTTCTAGTGAGCTTCATTTGTAAGTAAGCATTTTAATTGCTAAAATTTTATCAAATTGAAATATTTCCGTTGATCAAAGGTGAGTGAAACCTAACTTCAAGATTGGGTCAAGTGGAGCAAGGAAAGTTTGACCTCATCACTGAATTTTCTTGTGCAATTGCCGTTTCCTTTAAGTAATACAGTAAACAATTCATAAAACATTGAAAAATTGTGTTTTAAATTCAACTGTAGTTAAGGTAACTACAGTGCTAAGTTAAACTCAACTGAATTTTCCATTGGCTTTTGTTCCAGAAATTTTTGGGTAAATAGAAAACCCCAGTTACTGTTCAATATGAGGTTTCAAAAATGCAAAGTTGGCAGAATTTGCAGCTATTGAAACAATTGATGCACAGTGTCAAGCACTAGCTTGTCTGGCGTGCACATGAAATGAAGGAAAAAAAACGTGGAGGTTTAGGGTTAGGGTCAAGTGGAATGGAGTGGATCATATTTTGCCAATGTCTGAATTATATTTGATTGGAACTTGATTCCAACCGTACTCATCTTTCCATTCTTCAGATCTTAAATGCTATCAGCACCATCACGGCAACGTCTTTGGCCGTATTCTCAGACACTAGTCTATCGACTCATAGCTCTATTTTATGGCAGCCATATCTCGTTTTGACGCGAATGATTTTGTAGTGTACCAAGAGGAGTTCTTCTATATTAATAATTCATTTGAGTGGGAATTTCATTAAATTATTTTGTTTGACAAAAGAATGAAGGATAGGTCGCTCCTTCAAACAGTGAAAGCAAATTCATTTCTCAAGAAATTGCTACTTTCACATTCAGATAACACATTGATTTGAATAACCATTCAACAGTTTTAAATTGAATTACATTCATCCTCTACATGATTAAATATTATATTTGCCTAATTTAGAGAACAAGAATTTTCACGTAAATGCTATATTCCAGATTACGACCAAGGAAGTGGCCTGTTGGAAGTGAAGTTCCATTTCGGCTGGCAATGCAATCAAGACCAACTCCTTCTCATATCGTGATATGTTCCTTATAGGTGAATCATGTTTGCGGACCGCAAATATCAATTACATGTTGCTCGAGTTCAGACAAGACCGAAACCCGATTACGTTAAAAGTGAAGTGTCAAAGTGTGGCAAGCAAATGACCAGGTTGGATTAACACAATAATACACTTAGGCGAAAAATCAATTTCAGAATACTAATCGTATTCACAACTAGGTCTCAAACTAGGTCCAAAAGAAGGTCTTAAAAGCATGAGAGTAGTGTGTTGTCTCACTTCCTGAGATAAATACCCACTTGCAAAAGTGGATACCTGCACATAATTACAGCTCTCCCATCTGACATTCAACATCACCCGTCCTTGGTGGCAATCAACTGCCTAGATATACCCCAATAATGATCAAATTAACTCAGTTCTATTCACAATCCATTTTTAATTAAGCTTTTTTTTGGAAACCACTTTAATGAGGTGGAATATTTCCATTGATCAAAGGAGTCGCATACCGCTGGCACAAAACTGTCAATTGATTGTGGAAGCTCATGACCTCTTCAATATAGTTGCATGTGCAATTACCTGCTTCCTATAAATAGCACAACACCGACTGCCACTGAACACATGAGACCATTCGCTTTGAAGATGTGGTCGATCACTCTTCTTCTCTCCATCGCTCTAGTCATATCACATGGAACGGCGGTGGGAACGGGCAGCGAAGTAGCTGATAGATTGCGGGAAACAACGCAGGCTGCAGTTGAAGAGGCAGGCAGTTCAATGAGCGGTAATTATAAATCAAGTTGTACGATTAACTAGAACACTTAGAGTTGACGAAACGGAAGTGAACTCTACATCTCTTTCTTGTACACGTAGAAATCACTATTATGATCTTCTATCTGTAATGCCAACTGAGTACCCTCTGTTATCTGTTCTTTCTTAAGTTGCTTGGGTCACATTATCAACGAATGAATGGTTGACGTTTTGTAGGACAGTTATTGACAGTCCACCGTGGGCTCACATCGATTAGAGAGGCAAGATTTAGGCATGTTGATGCTCATCTAAACATCATTGTGATTTGTCTATGCTCTGCATATGGCTCATTATTGTAGAATCAACACCCATTACCCATTCGCCCACTTATTTCACCTCCCATCCTCCCTTGCCACCAATTTTGGAAATGCATTTAACACCAAAGCTTACAAACGACGTTTGTTTTAGGTACCCCTGATGTTGTCAGCCCAACTAATGACAGCATCTCCGATCTCACAGGACAGCAGAACTTTTCGGGAATTGAAGAAACGCTAAATGCCACCAATAATTCCAACTCTTCACCGAGTGCT